TTGAAATAAGTGGCGCCCTTTGGTATGCAGTGTAAGATATAGGTGGGTATCATATTTTTAGTCAAGTGCAGAAGTGAAAGCTTGTTCCCACTGCCTCCGATATAAGAATAGCCGTTCGCAATATTTTGACTTAAATTTTCAATAAAAGGAAAGTTTTTTGTCACAATCATAGTTGGCTATGAACTTAAAAAATGCTAGCCTTTCCAACGATATAAAGTTATGTGTATTTATTTCTAAGAATGAGAAAAATATTAGGTTTTTATCTTTGTATCGAAGCGGGCCTTGATTTTATGTTGACCTAGTTGCCTAATTATTTTTTATCACAATTTAATATTCTATATTATTATTTATCTGCATAATTAGAAACTTTTGAAAAGGTTGATTTACCTTCTATATTAGTATTACCAATTACAATTAAAACGCTAGGGTTTCAAGTGAACTATTAAACGGAGAATTTAAAGAGTATTGTGTTAAAACAAGTGGCCCATATCTTGGCCTGCTAGATTCTGTGATTTAACTCCTTTCGGCTTTTTTATGGGTTAAATTAAAAGACCTTATATATAAGGGAAGAAACATTGGGACGACAGGAGAATTGCAGAGGGCTACTATGCAAGCTTTTAGATTTATTATTAAACCAGTTCGCCTAATAAATCGTTGTAACTCTGTGCGCAAAAGATGTTGGAGGCACACAAGGAGGTGCTCAATTTGAGCATCTTTGATTTTTTTAGAAAACTACCGTATGATCGAAAAAAAAACGGCGTTCAGTTGTCTGGGAAATGAACATCAATGATATTTCCCATATAAATTTACATATAAAATGACAGCGATCTTCATTCCATAGCCATCGCTGACGCCGTTTTTTCTCGATCATACGGTATATTGGTCACTCATAAAATACGTTTTTTAGTTTTGTTCTTTGTTTATTGTATCGATTTCAGTTGTAATTACTAAAACTAATAATTACTATTACTAATAATAATAGAATGTTAATTTACCTTTTCAAAAGTCTTTAATTATGCAGATAAATAATAATATAGAATATTAAATTGTGATAAAAAATAATTAGGCAAATAGGTCAACTCAAAATCCAAAGCCCGCTTCGATATAAAGATAAAAACCCTAATATTTCTCTCATTCTTAGAAATAGATACCCATAACTTTATATCGTTGGATAGGGTTAAACGCCAGCATTTTTTAAGTTCATAGCCAACTACGATTTCCATTTAAAAATCATATTTTTTATTATTTCTGACAAAAAGAGCAAGCATAAAAAAAAACTGACTACGCCACTGGATTGTACTTCAAAAAGTGCCTTAAGAACGTTTCTACAGAATTTTATTATTCTGAGAAATAAAAAAGTTATAATTATCAACAGGCGGTTTTGCCATTAAACTTATCTCAGATATCGAGCCCATGACATCTATATCGGTTTTGCTCTATCTAGTCAGGAAATAGGTTTTCTCTGTTAAAACAGACTAATTTCGACCACCCTGTACACTGGTGTAGCAGTTAACACTAACAGCTTTCATATTTGTTTGATATTTTTTATAATTGAATTTTTAATAAAGTCTTATTTTTACAATTTTTTTGTATTCTTATTATACTTGATATACTTATTAGGGCTTATAGTTACATTTATAATACCACATCATGTTAACAGCGAAGCTTCCATTTATGCGGGTGATGCGCCGCATCTCTTCAAAATATTGTAATACGTTTTTATTGGAAAAAGTCACTGAGATCTCCTATAATAAATTTAAATTTGCAGTAAATTTATTCAAATAATTAAATTCAATTTCAATTATGCAATGTGTGTATTTGTCGAGCAAAATAAAAGTATTTCGACAGCGTGATGAGCCGAGGTTAGCGAACTTTCCGGCTGCGATTACCTCTCCCGTTTGCTGTTTTAGTCGGTGGATGATGCGGTTTCTGAAACACATCGCGGTATAAAATAAAAACGCGATAACCGATTCTGAATGCGGCTGTAAAATAGATATAAATTTGGAATCATCCTTCAGTTCTATTGTGAATTCAGACAAAATAAAAACTATTGAAGAAGGACCTCCAAAGCATATTTTAAAAATTAATACTAAATTAAAATCGTGTATTCGTCATTTTAGTGAAAATGTTTATAATAGTGAAAACTGGTTATGTGGGTGTAAGGCACTCAACTTTTTTGTTGGCCTTGTCTACTATTTTTCTAGGAGAAAAATGTATGGAATACTACCGGCTACGATAATTTATGATGAACATTGAAAGTTCATTATTAGGGAGTATGCGTTATTCTCCTTTTATTCGAAGAACATGTAATAAAAGTTTCGCAAATATGCATACTAGAAGAATTAATCTTAATTTAAAAGTTAACAGATATATTTTATTTTTGTAACTTCAAAATTAAAGACTTTAATAAAAAAAAATATGTTGTTGGTAAAATGTTAATTGCAGTTATTTATTACATCCCCTTGTATTGGCGCTACGCTACGCCGTTGCATTATATTGTCCTAACAATTTTTTTAGCGGCGCAACTTCACTTTTAAAATAAAATATAAAACAAATTATCTTGCAGTATTAATCTTTGCATTCCAATAAAATATCAATACGGTGCTACATTGATTAAACTCTTTTAAGGTTTCTCATTGCTAATTTTAATGTATTATTTACACGATATTAGTAAAGAAAGAAATTCAGTTGTAAATAATTTTACAGAATATTAAACACGTGTAGTTTTTTACAGCATTTAATAATATTCCAACTTTTAATTGCTACACGCTTATTTTTCCGTAAATATCCACATGTTCACTTTTAATTGAAAAAGTTTTAATGAAAATCCTGTATTACTATACTCGGATATTTTGATTATACTCCTAGTGCCATCTATGGGAAAGAAACAAAACAGTCTGCTCCTGCAGTTTACTATTACATTTATGTAAATTTATCAAAACAATCGAAGTAATAAAGGGTAATACTTCAATAGTATAAAGGTAGCTTTCAATATAAGAAAGTATTTATTTTCATCAAATACCTAATAGGTTCAATTTCATCAAAAGAAGTTTTTAAAGAATCTACATAAAATATACATAAGCTAAATATCTGTTTTATACCAAGACAAATTTGTAGTATCCAATTTGTTTTGTTTATAATATATAAAGTTATTACAACTAAGTGTTATCAATACAAAATTTGCCCCAAGAAATATACAGGGTCAGGCAAAAGTGCGTCGGGCTTCATTAGCTCCTAGAATAAAAAATCTTGGGAATTTTGTGTAAGTGCAAAACTAAAGTACCTACTAGAATGTATTTCAGAAAAATATTTTAACTTCTATAGAGTGGCTCAAAAAAGTGTGAGTGGATCAGGATAACTTTTTTTAAATGAAACACCTCGTATATTATTGCATTTTTGGCTTCCTTTCAGATCACTTTACATAATCCTAAGATATGAGTTAATATATTTCGATAGTTTGAGAGATATTAATAAATAAATAAAAAATATATAGGTTCCAGGTTTTCTTAAAGAAAATAGTAAAAATACCTGTCCTGAAATCAAAACTATATTAGGTATTTACTTTAGATGGTCTGTACTTAAATATGCTATAAATATGGTAATCGTACGACGGTAAAATCTACGACAAACTTTTTAAAATGTAAAATATGTTTTCTTTGTTTTTTTTAATGGATCAACCTGTATGTGATTTTTTCAATAGATGGAAAATTAAACAATGAATACTCTGTTTTATGTTTAGAGTATTTCAAAATTTTTAACGGTTTCGCAGATATTCGCGTTTTTCTATTTCATATGGCATTTTCTACAGTAAATCTTTATCAAATCCACCCAATGTATTTTTCTCGTGTATTTTGCCAGGGTTGCCAACCGTCCTCTATTTCAGAGGACAATCCTCTTTTTGATCGTACTGTCCTCTTTTCTCTAGCGCTTCGAAAAAGTCCTCTTTATTACACACCAAACTCAAAATCTAGAAATTATCGTTTATCGCAACAATACTTAATAAAATTGCTAATTTGACAACAGCATGTCTTTTGGTAGCTCCACTCCTTCATACAGAAAAGAAATATTTATTTACATACAAGATATATTGGTTTGGATGCGTTAAGAAAATAGAAAAGACCATTATCCTTATAACGTTTACATAACTTTTGAATAAATTCTTGACATTTAAGCGAGGTTTAAACATTTTTTCGCCTGTCCCGTTTCTTTTTGCACTCGCGTCCTCTATTTTTAATTTTGAAAGTTGGCAACCCTAATTTTACCGTTAAGGGCCATATGAAATAATTCTGCGTATCTGCGTAACCATTAGAAATGTTGAAATACCTTAAATACAAAAAATGTTTATTTTTTAATTTTCCATCTTTGAAAAAATAATATACAGGATGTTCCATTTAAAAAATGAAGAAAAATGATTTTATAATTTCGAAAGTCTGGCGTAGAATTTTGAACACCCTGTATGATTTAAGGTTACGATATTTATAGCAAAGTAAGTATAGACCATTTAAAGTACGAGTCGTATATACCTAATATCCGGTCTAATATAGTGTTGATTTCAGGACAGTTCATGTATTTGTAATATTTTATTTAAGTAAGATTAAAAAATCTATATTTTTTTTATTTATTTATTAACATCTCTGAAATTATCGAAATATATTTACTTATATCTTAGGATTATATAAAGTGATCTGAAAGGAAGCCAAAAATGCAATAATATACAGGGTGTTCCACTAAAAATCATCCCGATCCACTCACACTTTTTTGAGCGACCCTATAGAAGTTTTATTAGAAGTTTTCAAATATTTTCCTGAAGTACATCCTCGTACATACTTTAGGTTTGCACTTAAACAAAATTCCTAGGGTTTTTATTTTAGGAGCTACAGATGCGCAAGGCAGTACTGCCGTAAAATATATTTTACATAGTGCAATAATTGTTTTAAATACCAGATGTTCTCTAGTTTATAAATGGCAAAAAGGTCAAAATAATTAAATAAAGTAATTGGATTTAAGTAATTTTTATATTTTATTTTACAAATAGTATTCTGTACAAAAGCGTTTATTATTACAATGAACTTTAATATCTATTTACAAAATGATTCATGACAATTGCCTAATTTTGAGATACGAAGATGTTATTAAAAGAGATATTATGTTGAACTAAAAACTAAAATTGGTAACATTAAATTCAAAGTTATTTATAAGTTATAACAAATTTAAACAATTTATTTTGAAATTCATAATGTGTATGATGTTGAAAAATGAACGTTCAATTTTTTATTTTCTCAAAGCATTGGCACAGTGAGGTACGTGCTCTGGCTCCTCACAGGTGAGGGTACTCTCATCTAAAACTTTTCCGTCTCCGCAAGAGATCAATCTTGGATGACCGTTCACGCAGGTGATCAATCTGTGACAATCTCCAGGTACAGCAAATCTGGGGTAGGGCCAGAATCTAGCAGCTGGGCTACCGGAAGGTACTTTGGTAGGGCATTTGAAACCTACCACAGCTGAAAAAGGAATAAATATGTTACGATTAAAATGAATACTTGGCTAGTTTTAAAACTAACCAGCTATTTTACAAAGTAACTAAAAGAGCTGTTATTTTAAAAGAATCCTGTTTTTGCAAAAACAAACTAGTTTACAAGCTAGATGGTTAGTTTGCAAATGTGCGTTATTGTTGTTTTAATATTAACCAGTTATTTTAGTTAATTTGTATAATAGCCATTTTAGGCCAGTAAGCGAGGATAAAAATAGGGTATTACCTCCGAACTCTTGACACCCTTACCGATTGTCGTGAAATTTTAACGTAAATAGAGATATATGTAAGAAACAAAATTTACCTAGTAGTGATGTGCGCTTTCACCCTGGGAGTAAGTGCCACCGTTTCTCGGAAGTGAAAAATAAATCACCAATTTTAATTGCAAAAATCAATAAAGGGATGAATTCTAAGCAAAAAATGTTCTTTAATATTTTTTCAGTAAATTAATATTTTCCGAGTTATTTAGGATTGAAAATGTTGATTTTTCATCTAAAAACTGCATATTTTTCTGCCATTTTTATAAATAACTCGAAAACCTTGCGTTTTATCGCAAAACTCAGCAAAAATGAAGCTTTTGGAATAACGAATCGATTTATTTTCTGTTGATTACCGTAGGTGCAGTAATAGCCGAGTTATCACTCTGTAAATGTGATTTCTTATTTTTCGAAAAACACATTTTTCGAAGAAAATGAATATGACCGTTTTTAAAGTGATTGAAAATACCTTTTAAATGCTTTTTTAAAAGGTCTTTCCATGCAAGTTCGTAGCTCGAAAACTCGCGGAGTTATACAAATAAAATGGTTACCTCATTTTTTCCGAAAAAAATTAACAAAAAAATCTATAACTAAAATTACAAAAATAAAAACTATCAATCTGTTTGAAATTACACGAGCTACGAATTAACCTCTATAGTTGAACAGTCTTAAACTCTTCATTTTTACGAGATTTTTGGGTTTTAAGAGCTCAAAGAAGGTGGTCCTTACACGCAAGTCAAACTAAAAAACGTAATATCTACGAAATAAAGACATCTATAGAAAAATTGAAAAAAGCCAAAAAATGGCAAAAAGACCTTCAATTTTGCTCTGTTCCATTTTTTACATATCTTGCTTAGTTTTTGAGATATGTTAAAAAAATTAAAATTTAAAAATTATTTTTTTCGTTATTTACAATTTTTTTCCAAATTTAGACATTCTAAACCATTCTAAACTTGCAAAGCCCAATGTTAGTACCTAAACATAGCCAACTGTACATGTATTAGGCTTAGTTTTTATAATATTGGTAATTTTCAATATTGGTAAACTCTGTCACAAATAGTAGGAAACCGGATAGTAAATAATTATTCAATTATTCAGGCTAATCTTCGTATGGAAGAGTTTAATAAGTTGACATGTGTTTTAAAAATTGAGTTTTAAAATGACACAAACAGGTTTATTTCATCGGCGTGACCATTATAAGTATTATTGAGTTGTAGAAATTTCAATGTTACTCATACATAGTTGTTTCATTAATTTCGATGTAGAAGGTGCACGTTAAATTGATACATTAAAATAAAAATATCAGTTCCTTATAAATCAAATTATAGATGTTAAGTTAGTCTCTTTAACTAGGTTAAACTATTTATTGTTATAAAAAATAACTAGTTTACAGGCAAGTTCTAGAAAAAAAAATTACACAACATTTAAGATATATACAGGGTTGTTCACCACATACGACACGGAATATTGTAGCTAAACGATTAGATTTTTACAAATTGTAAGTTTTGGGTTCGTTGAAGGACTATTAAAGCTACAATTTAAAAATATTTTTACAAGATACAGAGTGTCCCAAATAAGTAAAAAATATCAAAGTTGTATTTTTTTAAACGGAACGCCCTGTATATTATTACATTTTTAGTTTCTACGATTAAAATAAAGGTAAATTTGATTAAGATTTATTATACTTAAACCTTACCGTTTTTGAAATATTTTCAATTTTGTGAAATTGCAGTAAAAATTTTAAGGCTTCATTTCTCCAAGGGTATCAAAGTTTTTAATACTAAATATTTACTGAAGTTTATTTACTGATCAGTTATTGTGAACCTTATACAGAGTGTCTAAAAATTTATTTTAAATAATTATTAGCTTCAAACGGCAATAACTTGTTTAATTTAAATGGAACACCCTGTATATTTTACGAGAATCAGATGCACAATTTAATTGTCTATCAAATTATATCATACCATTTTTTACCTATCTCTTTAAGTTTCCGTAGAAAATGTATTTTCTTGTAATTTAGAACTTATTTATCAATATACCCATGGACTATTGACATTTTAGATTATTTTTAAAGATGAACCAAATTTTTAAAGAGTACAGATACTAATATTGTCGATATAATTAGTTTATTTCATTAAAAAATAAGAAAAATTGTTTAAATATTTATTAAAGAGGATCAATTAATATGATTCCAGTATTCAAACTACATTAACAGACTATTTGCGTTGATTAATAATAATTGCTCCAAATACTAAAAAACTGAATTTTGTATGGGCATTAGACAGTGTGATAAAAAGTAACACCTTAAAAATGATATTTCATTTTTTAATAAATGCTTATTTATAACTACAGAGACTTTAATTTGATAACTTATTATTATATTGATTTCTGACTCAAATCCACATTTATTTATAATAATTTAATAACGAACACAATTAAGTATGTAATTAATTAGTATATGGGCGCAAATAATGGTGTTATATTTAATTAATGGTATACTCTTTTATAAAGATTTAAATAGTTTTCTTTTTGCATACAAATGGGCTAGTAATATTATCGTTTTGCTAAAAACGATAATATTACTAGTCTGTACATTTTGTACATTTGTTGCTTTAAAAACAATCTAAAATGTCAATATTCCATAGATATATTGATAAATGAGGTCTAAATTATAAGAAAATGCATTTTCTACGAAAACTTGAAGGGATAAGTAAAAAATGGTATAATACAATTTGATAGACAATTTAATTGTGCATCTGATTCTCCTAAAATATACAGGGCATTCCATTTAAATTAAAGAAGTTATTGCCGTTTGAAGCTAATAATTATTTAAAATAAATTTTTAGACACTCTCTATAAGATAGTATTATTTTTATTATTGCAACACAATAACCGATCAATAAATAAACTTCATTAAATATTTAGTATTAAAAACATTGATACCCTTGGAGAAATGAAGCTTTAAAATTTTTACTGCAATTTCACAAAATTGAAAATATTTCAATAACGGTAAGGTTTAAGTATAATAAACCTTAATCAAATTTACCTTTATTTTAATCGTAGAAACTAAAAATGTAATAATATACAGGGTGTTCCATTTAAAAAAATACAACTTTGATATTTTTTATTTATTTGGGACACTCTGTATCTTGTAAAAATATTTTTAAATTGTAGCTCTAATAGTCCTTCAACGAACCCCAAACTTATAATTTGTAAAAATCTCATCGTTTAGCTACAATACTCCGTGACGTATGTGGTGAACAACCCTGTATATAGCAAGTTTTCTACTGCACCTAATACACGTTATGTTTATCACTGAAATGCGTTTTGCTAACCATGTTCAGGAGATGATTAACAGTGTTTTACTTATCTGTTGATGCTGCTAACATAGTGTACGTATTGTGTTGAACTAGTGTGTTATTGTGCTAAGGTTCCAATTTCTACTGTATTGCAACTAATATTGTACAATAAAAGTGATGAAATATTTTTATGGGGATTATTTAGTATTTATACCAAAATTGCCCATTAATAAATTTATTCAAATTTATTGTAAAATATACAAATGATATCAATATTTACCTTCAGGATTACATGTTTCCAAAAGAAGATCAGGCCAGTTGCAACTATGGATCTTCTCATCGTAAACAAGTCCAGGTTCGCAAGCTTCGGGATGAGGTTCTCCGTGAACGCACTTGATGTAGTTAGTTGAGCAAGTGTGGGCTTCTGGATAAATGCCAAACTGATATTCACATCCAGGAGTACTGATAGGTGTCACTAAAAGAGTTTTATTGTTTATAATTTATTACATACTTTTTTTTCGTTCCAACCAACTACTTTAACGTGCAAGAACGGCACTTTTCCATCTTTGAAAATAAAAAAGTACCATTCTTGCATATTAAGGTAAGCTAAATTCCAAATATGATGCACCAGAAATCCCAAAAAAGCAGGGCCGGATCTACCTAAGGGCTCTTTGGACTGCAGCCCGGGGCCCCGAGGTTACAAGGGGCCCCCAGACCCCGCTAAAAACAATACGCGATAATTTGAATTAAAAAAAACTACAATAAGGTTGGCAATAATGGCAATTTTGAGATCAATCAACCAATGTATGTACGCGTCTATGGAACGGAACGGGGATTTCTCTGTAGTTAGTTTTTGATCTGTATATTTATCTACTCTTAAGGCAGGCGGCCACTGCGAGCGTAATTAAACTAAGCTAAGAATATGAAAACAAACAGTAATTAAATGGGAACTCCACTGGGAACGATTTTCGCTCAGTAGCCAGCTAAGTTAGCTGCGTTTTCGTATTGTATCTCTGCTATCATAGAACTAATCGCTGCGAAAAATTCGCTGGAACCTGTCACGAACTAAAACGAGCGAAACTAAACTGCGATTCGAATCTTCGTTCATATATTTTCGTTTTGTTTCGGTCAAGTAGCCGCTGACGCATTAAAAAGTATGGAAGCTGATTTTTACAAATCTTATCTTCGCTTAGTTTAGTTTCGCTTGCAGTGGCCGCCTGCCCTTACTAGGGACTTTCCGCTGCGCTGCTTAACGTAACGTCTGATATGATTTTGTTTTTTTTTCGCACTTCTGTTCTCGTCATGAAAGTGACACACTGACTGTGTTAATTGTTAGAACTGTGTTTAATGAGTGAGTTTACTAATAAGTGATAACTTAAAAGTTATATCTAAATAAGTAAAATTTATTATAGAGACGCATTACTCCAAAATTATCAGATAAGTCTACAGGTGAATTGTCAGTATACGGCGCAAAAAGATTTAAAAGAGACACGTTAAACATTGCGTTGGATAAGCTGATTATGGATTTAAATAAAAGAAGCTAAGTCTATGAGCCATATAGCAAAAAATTCAAATTTTTAATGGATTTGCAAGGCAAAAATATCGAAAACATAGATTTGGAAAGTGCACGTCATATTATTGATTACTATCCAGATGACGTAGACGAACATTTAATGAATGAGTGCATTCAATTAAAACCCAACTTACTCCAATCTAAGCCAGACTCTTACACCTCTTGCAGTGACATTTTTATGATGTAATTTTTTCCATGTATGAAAATAAACTTATTGATGTGTTCCCTAACTGCTATACCATTTTAAAGATCTTTTTAACTTTGCCAATCACTAGCTGTGAAGCAGAACGCTTTTTCTCCAAGATGTCCTATGTAAAAAATAAATATAGGACAACAATGTGGAACCATCTACTAAATAATTTATCATTTCTTTTCATAAATTGTGATCTAACAAAAGACTTGCAATGTGACCAAATAAAAGAATTTGCAGCACAAAAATGCAGAAAGGTTGATTTATAAATTATAATTTATATAACATAATTGTCACACACATAACCTGTCAATTTCTTTTCCTCCTCCTCCTCCTAGATTCTCTGTTGAGGTTGGCGATTAATATGGCGTATGACCCTCTGTCCAGAGCTTGGTGAATAAGAGTGTTTCCGTCGGTGTGGGTCCGATCTCTTATATTACGTAGCCATGATTTCTTTTTCCTCCCTATGCTACGTTTTCCATCGATTTTTGCTTCTATTATGAGCTGTATTTCTTCATATTCTGAGTGCCGCATTATATGTCCAAGGTAGGAAGTCTTTTTGATTTTAATTGTGCCTGTTAGGTGTGGACGAGTTTTCATTCTGTCTAAAACTTCACAATTGGTTGTTCTGGAGGTCCAACTTATCCTCAGCATCCGACGATACATCCACATTTCAAAAGCATTAAGGCGTTTGATGTCTTCTTGTTTTAGCGTCCAAGTTTCGCATCCATATTGAAGTAGGGGCCATATATAACATTTTAATGTTCTTAGCCTCGTTGGTATACCTATTCTGGGATGACACAAAAACTTCCGCATGTTGAGGAAACCAGCCCTAGCTATTTCTATTCTTCTTCTGATTTCTTTAGAGTTGTCTAGCTGGCTGTTTAATTTCCTGCCCAAGTAAATATAACTCCGCGTGGTTTCTAGATGGACGCCGTTTACCAATATGTCGGTATTTTCATTGTCTTGCGGATGTCTGTCGAAAATCATAGTTTTTGTCTTGACGGTGTTAATCTCTAAATTCATCCTGATACTTTCTTCTGTCAGTTTGTCCATTAGGGTTTGCAGCTGGTCTTCGGATTCTGCTAATACCACGGTGTCGTCTGCATATCTTATATTGTTTATAATTTTTCCATTTATTTTAGCCCCTTCTTGACAATTTTGAAGAGATTTTCGGATTATATATTCCGCATAAACGTTAAACAATAATGGTGACAATATGCATCCCTGTCTAACACCTCTTTGTATGTCTACGTATCTTGTATTTCCTTTTTCTGTTCTGACACAATCTTTGTGATTCCAGTATGTGTTCCTTATAATGATAATATCTCTCTCATCCAAGCCTACTTCAGTGAGAACTTCTACTAATTTTTCGTGCTGTATTCGATCGAAGGCTTTTTTGTAGTAAACGTAACAAACGTACAGCTTCCTTTGGACTTCCATGTACCTCTCTGCAATTAACGTTAAACTCAGGATTGTTTCTCTTGTTCCTGTCCCCCTTCTAAAACCGTATTTTGATCTAGTAAGGAAATCATCACATTTGCTGTATACTCTATTGAATATTATTCTCATAAAGATTTTCGCTGCGTGGCTCATCAGACATATTGTTCTGTGCATTTCTCCGCTTTATTCTTTTTGGGTAAGGCTATGAAGGTAGATGTTACCCAGTCTTCGGGGATTGTTCCAGTTTCATATACTTTATTGAAAAATTGGGTCAGAATTTTGATGGCATTATCGCTTATGTTTGAAGTGCTCTATTTGATCTTCGCCTTTCCCGGTGCCTTATTGCTTTTCGTTTCTCTGATTGCTTTGATGACTTCATCTTTCAATATGGGTAGATGGTCTGCTTTCTCTATTTTTGGATATTCCTGTTTTCTTCTCGCATCTCCGAACAATTCTTTCAAATAGTTCTCCCATATAACCTGTTGTTTACTGGGGTTTAATTTCTCTTACTAATTCATAATAAATAAATAAAATTATTTTATTGTTTTTTTTTATATTCTTACATATAGCACTATTTCGGTTTCTCTCTCACGCAAAAGTTGTCTGGAAGAGATTGCTTGTTACAGCAACACGGTCGTTTTTTGTACAACTAATATTTGCGTAGATTTAAGTAACATTTATGTTTTTATTTTTTGCGTAGATTTAAGTAACATTTTTATTTTTTTTGTGCAATAAAGAATATATAATAATAATATATCATTATAGAAACAGTTTTTTGACATGGCTATTAGTTGAGTACTTAGGTAGGCCCCTAAGTAGTTTCAGCCCAGGGCCCCACAAATTCACGATCCGCCCCTGCAAAAAAGCAGTTTTTTGAGTTGTACCGATATTACATAAGAACATCGGTATATCAATGTAAGGCATTCATAACATAAAAATTAGTGGAAGTACCTATTTACATATATATAAGCTTAGTAAAAAAATGTATAACTGTTTCTACTAATTATAATTGAAAAGGCTTTATTAGGGGGCCTTTTTTGTGATTCTAAATAATTTTTAAGGCGTTAACGTTGAAATTAAGCGTGGAAGTCATTTCGAAAATTTTGGCGTTTGGTCGCCACATTAAATTATGCCATCAGAAAAGAAAATAAAGGTGAATAAAGAATGCAGAAAATAAAAAAATCCCAAGTTTGGAAAATGGTTTTAAATGATTTCTCTACTCTTGGGCTGATATGTGTCAAAAGATAGACGATGAGCTCGAGGAGAGGGGAGGGGTTAAATGTCACTTTTATCACTTTTTAGCTTATATCTGGGAAAATATGATACCTATGAAAAAATACCGAATACAGAAAATTGAAGTTCAAAAAATTCTCTACAAAATTGGTCGAATGCATTTATTTTTCATAGGTCTAACCTTTTAAGAGTACAGGGTTGAGACAAAATTAACACTATTTCTCGTATTGTAGTTTCGCATTTAAAATCCAATTATAGTCTAAATTTCACCTTTTTTCACAACCTGTCATGTTTTTATTGCATCGTGACTTTTTGTCTTCCGTTGGAGAGCACTAGTGCAGACAGGACTTAACAATAACGGTAAATTAAAAATTAAAGCATGCCGGCTTTACGGTAAAAAAGTATACTACAGCATTTAGCAAATGTAAATACCGCTACTAATGTACAAAGTATACGAAAACCAAGAATTATGGTTTTATGGTTCTTGATTGCTCAGAGTTGAAGATTTCTATCCCCGCTTGCAGTGGATTTTTCTAAGCAGCACGAAGCATATGAGGCATGAGACATTAGCATTTGAGGTCTGGTTTAATTCTTTTAAATACACAAAAATATACAGCAAAATAAATGAACAGAAACCACTATTCATGTTAACAAATAACTTGCGCAGTCAAGGAGTGATTTGTGTGAACGCATCACGCATCTAAAATTTAAAAATCACAGTTTTTATTAAAACTTATACTTAATACTTAAAAAAAATCATGATATGGTTCTTCTTCACTCCTTTGAACAAAAAACATGCAATAAAAAGAAGTGGATTTGTACGGATTTGAAATATGCTAATTTGATTTAGTATCCAAATTTATGAAGGGCATAGTTCAGAAAGCATAAGTCCGGGAACAAGAAGTATAGAGTCATTTTTATAGAGAATTTTGTCAGCTTTATTTTTATATAGAGAAAGTTTTTTGGTAGATGTCTTAGTTTTTTCCGAGATATAAGCAAAAAAGTGAAAAAATTGACATTTAACTCTTCCCCACTCCTCGAGTTCATCGCCTATCTTCGCGGACTTTTGACACATATCAGTTTAAGTCTAGAGGAATCGTTTAAAACATTTTCAAAACTGTGGGAATTTTTCCCACCGATGGACCTTTTTTAAGTAATTTTTAATTTGTACTTAACAATCATATCTCTTTTTACATATCAATAAATGTCTTCAAATAGTATCCAAATAGAATTACTTACAGTCAGCTTTTCTTTCGCCACAGTGCACAGCCCAGTTATAATTGCAGTGGTTGTGAACGGCTCCTTTTCCGTCAAAAAGCAATCCATTCTCGCAAGTTTCTACGGTCAAGGTGCCGTTGGTGCAAAGGAAGAATATGTTACAGGATTCTGGATGGGCGTAAGCCTGGACACCGTGTTGTTCTGGACATTGTGGGGCGTCTTGAACCAGGATGCCTGCCTGGGCTGTAGGAAAATAAAAAAAAACATCAATATAAATTAAAACTACTTAAAGTCTTATCTAAATTACATTTCTATGGCTTTTATACTGAAACTTTTGAATCTCGTTCTTAATAAAGTCTTATAGTCTAAGATCCGGCTGCAGTCTAACGACCAGTTCTATATTATAAAAAATACTTAAATTTTTATTCAGACATTTTTCAAATAGATTTTTTTTATTCAAACAGATTTGATTGTCTAATGTTCTTCGTGTCTTGGCCGGTTAAAAGATGCCCAAATCGTATTTTAAATCATATATCTCATTTTTTTCAAATGGAACGAGGGTGGCTCATTAACATATTTGGTAAAATCATTTTTTACGAATAATTTGGTACGACACAGTTGGTATTTCGGGTCAATTTGTTGTTACATTTATGGCCATGGCACTCTAAATTAAAATTAAAAATGCTATTTTTTTTATTTCTAAATGTCAAAAGTCCACATATGCAATGTCATTCTATTCAGAATGTTATTTTCTATCAAATAATGTAAAAAAATACCAAGGGTGTCATTTAAAAATCAAAAGTTGTAGTCATTTCTGGTAAAACAGGAAGTGATCGAAAATAATTGAATACGTCAATCAATCCTAATTTATGTCGTATACTAAGATACCAAATCTCGTTTTTTTATCTGAAAAAGCAAAAAAGTGGGTGAGCCACTTTTGAGACCCGGTAATACTTATTAATTTAATTTTTGCACCCTGTTATCGATTTAAATTAATTGTTGTGAAATACAGGGTGTCCCAGAAATAAGTGCAAGTATTTTAAGGAGTGGTAGATCTCGATAAAAGAAACATATTTTCTCTTCATCGCCAAAAGTCGATGCTTTTATGTTGGCTGCTTTTATAAATACAAATTCCCAATCTATTGGTGCTGAATTACGAGGAAAAAAACAGAGAGGTATGTAACATTTATTCTTTGTAGTACTGAGGCATATTTAAGTATAAGTAAGTACCTATACTGTTACTAACTTTTATATAGTTATAAATATTAATGTTATAAACTTATTTTTCAGGTCAGGTAGGGAGACGTATGGAGATAATGCTGTAGGTTATATAGAAATGAAAAGAGACAAAAATATTTGTTTAGTACGTGTAAAAGTAACTCCAGAGCATAGCGTGAAAAAGAAAGTTTTTTTTTATATATTGACACCCCCTTACCTTTGTTATTTTTAAAGATTGTTTTTTTAAGAAATTATAGGAAATAAATTGTTTATCAGTAATGAAAATATTATACAAGGTGTCCCATAAGCAAACGCCAAAATTAAGTTACTTTTTTAAGTGAAACACCCTATATATTTTTGGATTCTTCGGAAGTTTCTAGATATTCTAGATATATTTCATGTATAATATCCTATACCTATCTTCAAATGTTTACGAAATATTGACAGTTGAAAAGCGAAAAATACCTACAATTTTCTGAACCACCTTTTTTGAGACACCCTGTATATCTAGAATTAATTTTAAAAGAGAGTATATGAAAAACCATGCAACTTTTTTATTTAATGTTTTCTTCTAAAACTTGCAGTTAAGGCTATATGTGGGTGTCAAAATATAATGAATAACCCTGTACATTCAAATTTCATATACCTATGTAAGACAATATACATAAATATATGAACTTACATCAAAATGATCTTCACAACAATAAATCGTAAAAATAGAGGATAATTTAACGTTTTTCTTTTCATCTCTTCTCATGACCTTGGACCATTTTTTTCTGTTTTCGCTCATCCATTACTATTTATAAATATCACTAATTACTAATTATGTATTAATTACCTTAAATAACTAAAATTTTGACTCGGATTCAACAGCGTTTAAAAGCAAACTGTGTAAAATAAACACGCGTCTGGCTCCACTCAACCAGAAGAACGGCGGGTGACGTCACAGCGGCAAGGTTTGCCAGGTCATTTAAATTAACAATATTTAATTATTTTATATTAGAGGTATTTCTTAACCGATATCAACGACTTTTTTTGTTCAATTTGTAATAATTATATAAACTATTTTTTAAAACCATTACTTAAAAACATGCATTTTCCTCATTGAATATCCGTTTTGTATGTGGATTGTAAATGCAACTTTAAATACATTTACTTTTCATATAATTCTTAAGTAACTTTTTTAGAAAGTCAGGCTAGTTTATTAAATCTTGAAAACTTAGGTAGCTATCTTGTACAGATAACATTGTACCTGTATTTTGACTAGTATTTGTAGAACACATTTTTAATTGATATTATGCAACAAGATTTTGAAGTTGTAGATGAAAAAAATACTCCCTTTTTGGTAATAATAATATTGTGTATCAATATATACAGGGTGTTTCAGAAAACATTTGTTTGAAAATCGTGGGGCGATCCTTATCTACACAATATAAAATGCTAATGTTTATATGTGTCGTCTCTACTGAAGTAACGACTTACTCTAGAAAGTTGCCTTTTTTACTAAAAGATAGGTAATTGGCTTTTCTAAAAACTGTCGTCGCCGGATTTTTTGTTTTTCATTTAATTAAAAAAAAATAAAAAGTATTTTTTTTTCTTGATGTCGTGGGGGATGCGCCAGGCTTCAACTAGTTTAAAATAAGATTTAGGGCTATTTTTTAGGGCTATCTAATTTCAATTCATAGTTGTATCTTGATATTTTGTCCTCCTCAAAGGGATAAACGCAATATTATTAATCACAATTTTATTAATAAAATTAAATTAAGTTATTTATTTAATTTAACTTATTACTTAATGTTTTTAAAATATATAACACTAATGTTACAGCAGTGGTACCTACAGCAAATTCCCCCAAAAAATAATGGTATTAAAAATAATAAAATTTGGACGTAGTTTTAATACGGCGTATTTTTAAAAAACAATGCATTTCCGCACCCATGTTTATAGGAACTTTTTTTCATATTTTTTTGATAAGGAATCAATGTACTTATTTAACATTTTGGCAAGTTAATTATATTAACGTTTTTTTTAAAGTTGCTATTAGAATTGGATAAAGGCAAATTAATTAAATTGCGTTTATCTCATCAAGGAGACGGAAATCGACAAAATATCAAGAGACAACTTCTAATCAGCATTTAATGGTCTACACAATTTTGCAAAAAAAAGGAAAAAAAGAGGTTTTTGGCGCACATATTTTTATATTTTGAAAAAAAAATTTCAGTGATAACCCACATGCGCGTCACTGAATATGTCAACACTATTTTAGCATTAAAATGTGGCGCACTTATAGTAACTTTTACTTATACTACTTTACTATATATAGTACCAAACCAAATCAAAATTTCATTCGAATCGTTAAAATCACTTGGAAGAAAATTATAATATATCGAAAATGGATGAAGACTTTAACCCCCTGTAGCTAAGAAACAAAACAGAATCGGACCTATGTTAATATGAAAAATAAATCTTATTTTTACGAGAGGAAACTCCCCACGAGAGATGGAACATGCTTTTGGAAACAACCTCTATAATAATTGGTTATAGAGAGATGTTTTAAGAGAATAAATAATAATAACCACAATTTGCCAACAAATCATTCACGGTTCATTAAATAAATTGTTAGAGGTATGAATATTTAATTATAGCTTTCGATAAAGAAAGATCTTTGTTTGTCTTTGATATTATGAAACGAAGTGTAAGAAAAATCCATGCGACACAGAAAATTAACTTTCAAATATTTGCAGAATAAACAAAAACTGTTAATAAACTGCTTTCCAATGTTTTATAAAATATAATGCGTAAACAATGTGAAAAATACTTAATTTATGTAGTCCTGTTTCTATTCAATATTCTTTTTTACTAGTTTTTTTTTAATTTACTAATTTCAACTTTTGGTTAAAAAGTGAAATTTTGTTATTTGTTCTATATTTCTGTTCCAGCTTACCTATAGAGTGATTTTTATATTTATTTTAAATACCGGTTTTTCTCCTTTTAGTTTCAACAATTCCGAATTTGCATTGAAATTGTTATACAAGCTGCAGAATAGATTTGAATATTAAACAGATTAAAAAGAGAAAAATGTTAAATTTAAATGGTATACAAATGCCATTATATTTGATTGTTTTAGGAAGTAATTACAGAACTAATATACGAGGTTTTTTAAAAATAATTAAAAAAAAAATAACCCTTTTCTGTATAATGCTTATAATAATTATATTCTTAATTTATGTTTATATAAAGTGTTGTAGCAATGATAAAATAATATTAATCTTTAAGAAAATTATTTTATTCACACTTTTTAATTTATGCAATCCATATGTAAAACACAGCATTTCAAAATAAAGTTTTGTGATCTTTATTTATAAAGAGTTACCCAATGTTACAATAAACTCCATTTTAAGTTTCATATTAATTTGTGATTCTCAATCAGTTTTTTTAATTTGCTGCCAAATAGTTACATTTTTTTATATACAGGGTGACTCAAAGTCATTTTACGAACAGGTTAGAATTTATTTAAACATAAATATTACTTTGTTCCTTTAATTATTACATTTACTATTAAAGTATGTTTCTAAAAATTTTGTCATATTAGTCAAGTGGTTTTTGAAGTGTATAACTATTTTAAAACTAAATCTTCAGCGCACATTTAGGATATTCGAATTAAAATTATTTTAAAATATAATTATCTTCTTAACTATGATTACACTAATAGTTTTGATATACCGGGTGCGTCTAAAAGTGGCGCATGCCTATAACTTTTTTATTTAATCAGATAAAAAAAACAGATTTGGTATGTTATTTATGATATAAATTAGGATTGATTGACGTATTCAATTGTTTTCGGTCACTTCCTGTTTCACCGGAAATGAAAAAAAATATATTTTAAATTTCAATCTAGGAGTCTTGGAATAATAGATTTGATCATCTAATGTTTTTAGTGTCTTGTCCTGGCCAGTGATGCGCAAATCGTATTTTTAATCATATCTCAATTTTTTTCAAATGGAACGAGAGTGGCTTATTAGCATATTTGAAAAAAGCATTTTTTACGAATAATTTGGTACCAGACACTTGACAGTTCGAGTCAAATTATTGTCGTTATGAACGGCATGTTACAATTTCAAATAAACCATATGCGAAAATGTCAAAAGTTGACATGATATGCCATTCTATTCAGAGTGTCCTTTTCTATCGAATAAATTGAAAAAAAAATACCAAGAGTGCCATTTAAAAATTAAAAGTTTTAGTCATTTCCGGTGAAACAGGAAGTTACCAGAAACAACTGAATACGTCAATCAATCCTCATTTATGTCATATGCTATATACTAACTATATACTGAATCTTTCAATTTTTTATGTGAAAAAATTAAAAAGTTATGAGGGTGAACCACTTTTGAGACGCACACGGTATACATGATGAGTCAAAACTAGATATATCAGTTTTTTAGTATTTTAATCGGAACATCCTGTATTTTATATTATCAATAAACAAAATTTTGATTGCATTATGCTGAACCAAAAATTATGTAGTAGGTACATACTAAACACAATATACCATATGATCGAATAAAAACGGCGTCAGCGATGGCTATGAAATGAAGATCGCTGTCATTTTATATGTAAATTTATATGGGAAATGTCATCGATCGTCATTTCCAAGCCAACTGGACGCCGTTTTTATTCGATCATACGGTATGTTTAAAGCATACATCAAATTTTTATCAGCATGAGTAATAAAATATTTCAAATCGCTTCATACATTTTTGGTAACCATATTAGCATCATCAGTAGATGAATAAAACTAGTTTTTTTTCAGTTTAGCATGGTTAGCGAACATTGGCGTAACTACAGGGGTGCCCGGGGGCCGGGCCCCCCTAGGTACTCCTGGGCACCCCCAGAGAAATCCTGAATTATGGCTCTTGGCTACGTATTAATTTTTATTTGCTAGTGATAAAAATGACATTTTCTAGTTTTCTTTAGTTAATATTATTTTGTTGTGTTCAAAAAATGTGTTAATTTTTATTTTTTTTAGAAAATTTGTAGGTATTTAAGTAATCTACGGGAACACGGTCTGGTACCAAGTCTATGAAATTTATTGATAGAGAAATTCATGTAAACGTTTTATCAAAAATATATGTATTTTAACACTTTTCTTCATTTTTTAAAAAAACAAAAGCCCTTAAGCCCCCCTGGCTCATCCTCAGCCCCCCCTCAGGATTCCTAGTTACGCTAATGTTAGCGAACCTAAATTATAGGCTAATTAATACGTATGCAGTATTTGGCGCCAGTGTCACTGGTGGTTGGCGCCAGCTCTGATATGGTGGTAGCAATATAAAAACACTTTTCTGTGCTAATCACTGATACGAAAATTGTGGATCTACACAGAAAGATTTTGTATGAATTTCACTCTATAGTCTATCTAGCAATCAAACGTATCTATGATTTTCACAAATGACATTCATGAAATTTAAGAAGAAACGATTTATGTGTATTTATTATTCTTATGTGACAGATAACTGTCACTAATGTCTTATATTTTAAACACATACATTCCAGCCTTAAATTAGCTTCCTTGTATATTGAATATGTAATGAGCAATTTCAATGACAAATAAGGAACTTTTACTTCTATCAATCAATCAGGTTTATATACGTAACTGTGTAGTATGTAAGACACTTATTTTTTCTCTCGTAATAAAATATATTCGAATATTTTTTTTAAAGTATATCCAACTATACAAAATATACCATATTTTTTTAGGTCAACACATCAAATAGATACCTAAATAAAATAATTATTTTAATATAGTCAACAAAAAATAGTTTATGGTCTAGTTATATGGTATCGGTTAATTTAATTCCAAGTGACTTGAATATTAATCAATCTCTGAAATAAGAAGGAGTTTTAGCTGAATTTTTTCTAGTACTCACCTGTGGCTAAAACGGCCAAACAAATCACAGTCACTTTCGCGTCCATATTGCGAACTGTACCGATGTTTTTCCTTGGGAACGAATTGTCGTGGTGGACACTTTCTACTTCTCTGGGACCGACAAAAGAGTAACTGGCATAACACACGGTCGATATACGTACGAGATTTTGTGGTTTCAATTTGCCGTGTTTACCATTCACCGTTGCAAGTGAGGGCCTTTACGAGGGGTATACGAAAATTATTTTATATTATCCTCAATTGGACGATAATTTAAGCTAATTAAAAACAATAATAAAATAAATCTTTTTAAAAAATACTGAATGAAGCAAATACAAGAGTTGTAATAATACTTATAGTAGAGGATCCGGCTGCAGGATTATTACGCTCATCGATTTTTGAATCAAAACCTAATTTTTACGTATATTTATGAATAGGAAACAGGGCGCCTATCAAAAAGTTGCCGCAGATAGGGGTTGCCACGGTTAATAGTTTTTCCTACGGGCCCGGCAACAATGCGTCAGGCATCTGTAACTGCTATAATAAAACACCTAGGAATTTTGTATAAGTGCCAATCTAAAATACTTTAGATTGGCAGAAGTTAATCACCAGACAGATCCTAATATATACATAAAGTAAGTATTTATTTATTATTATTTTATTTATATTTGTAAAGTGCCAACCTAGAGTATGTGTTAAATGTATTTTAGGAAAATATTTTAACTTCAACAGGTTGGCTCAAAAAGTGTGATTGAATCGGGATAATTTTTTTAAATGTAACACCCTGTATTGCATTTATGGCTTTCTTTCTGATCACTTTACATAATCCTAAGATATTATTAAATGTTTCGATAATTTCTAAAATATTAAGAAATAAATAAAAAAAGAAGTGTTTTCAGCGTTTTGTCTTGAAATCAAAACTCTACAATTTTTTTTCTATTGCTGGTCTGTCTGCACTTACTTGGCTGAAAATAAAGTAATATCGTTTTTAAATAGAAAACCCTTTGTATTGTTCCTTTGCTAGAGGAAGAATTAAAAAAATAAATTTGGAATTTAAAGTATTTCAAAATTTTTAACGGTTTTGCAAATATTCACGTTTTTATTACATATGGTTTTAAAAAAATAATCCCGATTCACTCACACTTTTTTGAGCCACCCTGTTGAAGTATTTTCCTGAAATACATCCTAATATATACTTTACATTGGCAGTTATACAAAATTCCTAGGTGTTTTATTATAGGAGAGCTACAGATGCCTGACGCACTGTTGCCGGGCCCGTAGAAAAAACTTTGAACCGTGGCAACCTCTATTTGCGGCAACTTTTTGATAGGCACCCTTATAACATCTTCTACAGAATAAAAATAGTTTTTATTTTACATGCAAATGATCAATAAAGTTTATGAGCGTAATGTCGTTTCCAAAAAATCACTTATTATTATTATTAATTACCCATAATTGCGGCAATTTTTTGATAGGCACCCTGTTGAAAATGTATTCTCCTATACAGGGTATCCCAGAAATAAGTGCAAATATTTTAACTGGTAGTATAGTTTAACCCCAGAAACACGCCTATGAGGTTTTCTTCGCGAAAAAAAAATTTTGAAAATTTTTTTGAAATTTTTTTAGTTTTTAGTTAAAAAACATAATTTCTTGATAATATGGCAACATAGGTATTAGATTAAATTTACATTAAAGAAAATCCAGAAAAGATCCAGTGGTTTTCAAAATTTTAGCAAAAAATCATTTTTTTTGGAAATTTTCAAAGTAAAATAACTCCGTTATTTTGGACTTATTTGAAAAACGATAAAGAGAAAATATGTTTCTTTTATCGAGATCTATCACCCCTTAAAATATTTGCACTTATTTCTGGGACACCCTGTATATACATAAATATACGTAAAAATTAAGTTTTGATTAAAAATACGATAAGCGAAAAACAATCCTGCAGCCAGATCTTAGTCTATTAAGTATGCTTCCAACCATATGTAGAGAGATGTAGGTTGTATGGGAGGAGAGAAGTTAATCACCACAACCTCATAGATCTGTTGTGTCCCCTTTTCTTGAGTTATAACGCATCATGCAATCTTAGAGTTTTGACAAAAACCAGTATCTGAGATCTGAGTTCTCCATCTTCGATTTCAGTGTATGTTACAGTGCCGTAATGCTCATGAAATGTTGCAGCCACGAGAGCGAATTCCGAAAATTTACACCTAGAAGAGAGTCTCTTCGGAGTCTCCCGTATCAATAGAATATCCGCAAGTTTAATCAGATAGACGATTTTAGCTCTGCAAGTTTAACCAGATAATCACTTTCCTGCCAAACAACTGATTTCACTAGAGGCGAAAATATTCTGTCAGTTGACTTGCAGAGATTATATGAAGACTAAAGTTTCCTGCTTTAATCTTTTTCATACAAGTCAAGTATCTACCGTAAGTATTTGGGGATCAACTGGTAAAATACAACTCTCACCCAAAATACTTTTGAGTAACATTGTATCGGTTCACTTTCAAACCAAGACGGCTGCAAAAATAAATACTAGAAATTTCATACTGCACAAGATCGCAGATAGCGGTTGAAGAGCAAACCCAGGATACTTAAAACGACTGCAATGCCCACACATATTCAGAGGCAGAGTATTGCTGTCCTGTCTGGATAAACAGAAATCATACTCGCCTTAACAGAGAATTATAACGAGCACTATCAGAAGTGCTCCGATGGCTCCCTTTATTTAAGAAGACAGGCGGCCCTAGTCAGGGAGTGGAAAAAGTGCACCAGCGATGTTCATCTTTCCATCCATGATGGTTGCAAAATTTTTCTTGCATCGCAAGTCCAGAAAACCGCCATGATTATTAGGCCAGCAGCTACTAAACTCAAACTTGCGAGTTGAAGACTGTTGGCGAGACGAATGGTCACAACAATCCTGACCTTTATCACTAGTTAACTGGCCCTAACAAGAAATACTCAATCTGTTCAGAACTATGGCAGAACCCGCTACTGGAGGCACAAATGGGAACTAACCGGCAGCCTTAACTGCGATTGCGGACATCCTGAATACGCTCCTTTTCATATCGCAACAAAGTGCCCATTAACAAAAGCGCATATAACGCTTAAGAAAGTACAATCATATATTATCACATTCCTTTAAAAATACTGGTTATTAGTTAAATTTGCAGAAAAGATCACATCACCTCTCTTTTATATAGGGAGGACCTTTAGGAAGGACTGTTTAATATGTAAAATTAAAAATATGAAAAATAATAAAAAAATAATTTCCAGATCTGTGAAACACGCAATTAATCTTCGACATCAAAAATTGTATAAAATTCCTAAACTCACATTTAATAAATTATATTAATTAAACAGTCAGGTTTCGAAGCTCTTTTACATACACACACAGTGCTGTAAATTTATATTACTCAATTCCATCTGCAATAAACTACTTTGTGTCAACATTGATGACACCCCGTATACTATCAGAAATTTGCTTATTAATATCCCGAGTAAGTTTCATTAAGCTATTTTACTGTTCATCTTAGTATTATTAATATTTCTTTACAACTTTCAATCGTCATAATTAAAATTGTTCTTCTTAATTTTCTAGTTGTTAATTAAACTGCTGTTAATATAATTAACTAATTTCTTTTATATTCTACAGGGTCCGGCAATAGTGCGTCGGGCATCTGTAGCTCCTAAAATAATAAACTTGGGAATTTTGTTTAAGTGCAAACCTAAAGTATGTACTAGGATGTATTTCAGGAAAATATTTTGACTTCTATAGAGTGGCTCAAAAAAGTGTGAGTGGATCGGGGTGCATTTTTTTAAATGGAACACCCTGTATATTATTGCATTTTTGGCTTCCTTTCAGATCACTTTACATAAACCTAAGACATGAGTAAATATTTCGATAATTTCAGATAATAAATAAATAAAAATTATATATTTTCAAAAAATTAATAATAATACATGTTATATATATATATTAATCTGTACTTTGCTATAAATATGAAATCGTAAATCATGCAGGATGTTTAAAATTCTACGCCAAACTTTCTTAAATATAAAATAATTTTTCTTTGTTTTTTTTTTAAATAGAAACACCTGTATATTATTTTTTCAATAGATGGAAAATTAAAAAATTAACATTTTTTGCAGTTAGAGTATTTCAAAATTTTTAACGGTTTCACAGATATTCCCGGTTTTGCATTTCATATGGCCATTTTCCACAGCAAATTTTTATCAAAGCCACCCAATGATTTTTCTCTCGTATTTTACCATTGAAAGCACCATATGAAATAATACTGCGTGTATCCGGAAAACTACTAAAAATTTTGAAATACTTTAAATACAAAAAATGTTCATTTTTTAATTCTCCATCAAATAAGAAAATAATATAGAGGGTGTTCCATTTAAAAAAACGAAGAAAAATTATTTTATATTTCTAGTAATAGTAATATAAAAAAACTTATAATAGTAATATAAAGTTTGGCGTAAAATATTGAACATCCTGTATGATTTACGATTACCATATTTATAGCAAAGTAAGAACAGGCCATCTAAAGTAAATATCTAATATAGTTTTGATTTCAGAACAGTTCTTGTATTTTTAATATTTTTTTTAAGAAGGGTTGAAGAATATATATTTATGATTTATTTTTTAATATCTCTGAAACTATCGAAATAGATATACTGATATCTTAAAATTATGTAAAGTGATCTGAAAGGAAGTCAAATATGCAATAATATACCGGGTGTTCCATTTAAAAAAAATCATCCGGATCCACTCACACTTTTTTGAGCCACCCTACAGAAGTTAAAATATTTTCCGGAAATACATCCTAGTACATACTTTAAGTTTTCACTTAAACAAAATTCTCAAGTTTTTTATTCTAGGAGCTACAGATGCCCGACGAACTATTGCCGGACCCTGTATATGATTATAATTTAACTTATAATAATTAAAGTTTTTCTCATTTTTCGATTTTTAATTTTTTTAAAAAATGTGGCGGATTCGTCTCTCCAAAAAAATCCTTTATGGGTATTTCGCCACTGCACTGCAAGAAAATGCTAATTTTAATAATTTTAATTTTTTTGTTGTAATAACTTTTATTGCCGCCATTGATATAAACTTTTTAAAGCATATAGGTACCAGAAGGTCTTAAAT